TTCTTAAGACATAGGGAATCTTATGGGATAAGGTATATATTCCCCCAAACTAAGCTATGACTCATTAGACTAATACTGCAATCGGATCAATCCAAAAGTGACCCTCCCGATGATTATGGGCAGGCATCTTAGTCACCACAATACTCTACCTCAGTGATGCTCCTTGCCATTCCCCAATGATAACCACTCTCCCTTCTTTCTTCCAATTGTATTCCTTTGTCTGAACTCTGTTCAGGAATACTAATCCTCAGATGTCTGTCTTCAATTAACTCCAGAGACCCCAATGAAACAGCAGCCCTGGTCTACCCAAGTATAGCAGATTTTCTAAAGTAGTATGTAAACTGAACCCCTAGGCATCGTGCCTAGTCTTTCTGCACTTTGTGCCAGCCCTGGGAATGGAGAAATGAAGAAGCCATTGCTATAGTCATCGAGTGGCTCTGTATTGTCAGGCAGGCAAACTGCTGAGCATCATGGGGTTGGAATGCTCTAGGTTACTGCAGAGTACTGACTGTTCTTAGTAAACCATAATAGTTGGAAAGAACCAAGGAACTCCCCAGTTGGGATCAGGGGCAGCACCTAACGCAGGCTTCTGTGGATTCAGTGAGGCAGGGACAATCTGAGCTTGAAGGAAAGGGAAAACATGTTTCACTGGGTTATTTGATTTTCCCTTCTGACAAGATGCCAGAAGCCTTACTTTCAAGAATAAATTGCTCTTCTCCGGCAATTTATACTTTCTGCAGAGCTCCTTAGACAGCAACAGATCTGACTGCACATCAAAAACTTCCAGGAAAAACAAAAGAGCTGAAATAACTGCATTATTCAGCATGCAAATAAAGTACCTAGAATAACAAACTGTAATGGAATATAATGTTGGAAGGAACAATGATAGATTAGGGTAATTTTACAGTAAAGTTTCAAAGCAATTTAGTTCTCCCCATGCCAAAAGATTCTTTACTATACATAAGCATTTCTAAGTGATTCAGAAATTTCCTAAGGTCAGAACCTAGAAGAGAACCACAGTTTTTAAATTATTTATGCAAATTTTAATCTTGATAAATAACACAGGGGGAATTGTGACCTTAAAACCTTTCATATGTCTTCCTAGGCTTTTTCCAATACTGGAGAGCATGTAAAAAGGACATATTTAGGAGGCTGCAGCTATGTACAGACTTGAGGAATCAATCCTACTTTTTTTCTTTTTTTAATGCAAGTATCTAAAGATGCCACCGAGTCCTGAATGGGTGGCACAGGGCATGGGAGGAGTTGTAGAGGGGGGAAAGGTGGCACTGATGAAGGCTGACAGGACAAACTGGATTTCTCAAACTTGTGAAATACCCCAGGAATGATGGTCTTTGTAATCCAACTGAGTCACTCTCCTGTCCTACTAAAGAGTCTTTACATTTAGGCTTCTGGATTTTGCTAGCCATTGTAGGGTCTCATTTCCTTCACAGCTGAGCTTCCCCAAGCTACAATTCTTCTAGTCCTTCACCACAAGTTTCTTCCACTTAATACAGACTGTCCTATCTTCTATGTAAGATAAAGGTCATAGTTAAAACCAAAGAGTTTCACAAAAACAATAACCTCCTTGTTCCCCACAACTTCTCTCTACCATACAACCTCCTCAAAGGGGAAACAAATGCAAGAAGGAATCTTGGTTTGAATAGAAATTGATTAAAGCTCTTTTTTTCCAGTTTCAACACTACTTTTTCTAAACTCTTAGTTTCCAGTGACCTTTTAAATAAGAAAATGCAGAAATTGCAATAATTGAAAAAAAGAAAAATCTGACTTTAAATGCTATTCAACAATTTTACCAATCTTTGTTTTTTTGTTTTTTTTTTTTTGATTAAATTGAAACTGAAATTCCAGGGAGTCAATGCCTCCGCATCCAACACCATAACTCACCAGGGTACCACCACCCTTAAAATGCTGAAACAACCATGACTTACAGCCCACGACGGCCTTCTCCTAAGAGTGTTATTCTATACTTAGAAACCTACTAAAGAAAGTTAGTAAGTTTAAGAAATGTGTGAAGCTGTAGATATAATTATCTACATGTAATTATCCATACTAGAAATGCATAAGAAGGCTTTCAAGTGATTGAACACACACACATATATATATACACATATATATATACATATATATGCAAACATATACACATATGTATATAATTGTATTCTCTCTGTCTTTCTGGGTCTCTGTCCCTCTCTCTCTCGCTTCAT